CAATTTTTAATTTTACGCAAAATGCGATATCTTGAGTTATTCAAAATGAGTTATTCTGTCATATTTTCTCCCTTTCTTTCCAAACCGCGACAAATGCCAGTCTCCCTTCTCTGCAGAATGCGATATATCAGCTATATCAGATATATCACAGCGCACCATTCCACGCACTGTAGACAGTAATGGCGGCGCTTTGAATACACCCAGCATCCTAGTTTTCCTCAAACTGAGTTCACTAAATTTAAACCAATTATGCATGCATTCAACATGAACAATAAACCGCTAAACCGAAGGAGAAGAGAAGCACATGTACTACACAGCAAAAAACAGATGATGTTGCAGGTTTCTACAACTGCGATAATGCTTTTGTAGTCAAACAATGCAGTGTTTAACAACTCCGATGGTGTCTGCCACAGAGTGTCTAAGACAAATTATTTCTATGGAAAACTGCTTTCATCTGCAGCTGTTCAAGCCACGCTGAGGAATGGAAAACGTCCAACTCTAAAGATGCAATCAATCTCTAACATGGGTTTTGTTTCATGTTCATGGCTGGAGACTCTGGCATGGCAGCCATGACGTGGAGAGGCTTTGGCATGGTGGCCGAGGCGCGATGAAGCTTTTCATGTATTTCATGTATTTTAAAAAAAAAAAATGTCATTGTCATGGTTCCTGTCATGTCATGTGTTTCCCTTGCCCTCATGGTTTCTTTGTTTGTTCTTTGTCATGTTCTGATTGGTTGTCTAGCTCATGTGTCTTGTTCTCATTGGTCAGATTGTGTCATGTGACCCCCATTGTTTGATTTATATAGCCCTCATGTTGCCATTGTCCTTTGTCTAGCTGAAAATCTGGAATCTGAGGGTGCAAAAAAAATCGAAATATTGAGAAAATCACCTTTTAAAGTTGTCCAAATGAAGTCCTTAGCAATGCATATTACTAAGTTTCGATATATTTACGGTAGGAAATTTACAAAATATCTTCATGGTACAAGATCTTTACTTAATGTCCTAATGATTTTTGGCATAAAAGAAAAATATATTATTTTGACCCATACAATGTATTTTTGGCTATTGCTACAAATATACCCCAGCGACTTATGACTGTCACATATATGACTACAAGCTGTTTGCAAAACTACCTGCTTTGCTGCACACAATAGACCCGATAAGTAATAGGCTACTGCATAAATAAATACCTCTCAATGCTACCTTCTTATGTCTGAAATATTTTAAAAAAGAAACAGAGGACCAGTTTATATAGATGAACAGACAGACTGAAAAAAAATCTCCAATAGACCAGCAGGCGGAGGCTCTCATTAGCGTTTTACAGAAAACTGATGGAAAAAAAACCACGATGACTCAGAGCGTCGTGGGACGTAGGAGCATTTTTCATTGAATTTATACCTCTACTTCAACTAAATAAATCAAAGAGCTTGACCTCTGACCACCACTGTTCAAAACCGGGTGGCATTTTATGAGTCTGGGACAAAACCGATTTACGAATCCACTGGAGTTTCTGTAATAGATGGATTAAAGCAGAAGGACGCCAACAGTTCAACAGCATGAGACTGTATTTGATGTGTGTCTGGTCTGTAATGAGCCTCGCTTTGCTTTCATAGGCGCATGGTCATAGAATATGGCCAGTGTTTCTTTAGGGATCAGAATGCTGGATATTCCATTCACTGGAAGTGTCTGTAAAGGCTTAAACAACCACTTGAAATTTTTCAGTCAAAATGCTCAAATATATTGGCTTTGTTGAACAAATGAGGCACCCTGGAAAAGGGAAACACATTGTGCTATTTTTTTGAATCATAATAAGGACAGACTCAGGTTGGAGTTTGTCTAAATGTTCAGTCAATTATAATGAGTGACTCTGCATATACTCTCTTAAAAATAAAGGTTCCTTATTGGCATTGATAGATCCATGGACCTTTCTATCCCTAATTTTTTGAAATTTTTTTTTTTTTATGGGGGAAAAAAGGTTCTTTAGATTATTTAAATGTTTTTATACTCTGTGAATGAATGAATGCATACATAAAAGTCCCATGTTAATAATGTAATAATGTTACATAATAATGTCCTTCCTTCCTTCTCTCTGTTTTCTGTTAAACATTTTATTACAAGCTTAACAGATACCATTATAAAATTACAGCAGCAATTCTATATCTTTCTACAGTCTATAGTATCTCATAAACAGGACTTGCTTTAAAGGGAGACACTTCTAAAAGAAGGTTTTAGTGTTCTGTCGGCGTGTTAAAACCCTCTCTCAGAAGTTCATCCTCTCAAAGCCTCATCAGAGCTGCACTTTTAAAACAAATCCACCATCTTTAACAATGCAACTTAAAGCCCATTACTGCGTGACTTCTTAATCTACGTACATGTGTAGATGTGCATCTCTAAATGCATAAGCCTTAACCTGAGATCCTCAAGCTCAGATTCTCTGATTTTCACCTACCAGGGTTTCTGCAAGTTTTATGGGGGCAAATTTAAGACATGGTAAATAAACTTTTAAGACCAAGTAGAGAAAATTTAAGGAATGCATTGAATGGAACACAATAAGTTCTTTAAATGAAAGTGTCTTATTAGCAACAATTAAAAGTTTGAAAAAGTCTTCCTACCAATCTCCATTACTTAAAAAAAAAAAAAAAAAACTAATTCTTAAATCTAGATACATTTACTTGAGAAGCAAAATGACATAAGTCTTGTTTTCGGTGAATCTCATCAAAATGAAGCGAGTGTACGATTAAAAAGAACAAATATCTGCTGGTGGACTTACGAAAAACAAATTAATTCAAAGGGAATACTAGTTTTCATACCCCATTGCCATTGACATTTGTTGTTGTTTTAAACAAACTCACTTCATTTTGTTTAGTTTATCAGAAAACAATATCTTAATTTTGCACCACAAGTAAATGTGGTCACACTTTAGTTTAGAGACCAGTTATCACTATTAACGAACTATTAACTATGATTTTTGCCTCAAAAAAATCCTAATTTGTTGCTTATTAATAGGGTTAAGGGATCTTAAATATGGTCATGCAGAATATGGAATTAATATGTGCTTTATAAGTACTAATAAACAGCCAATATGGTAGTAGTATGCATACTAATAAGCAACCAGTTAATAGTGAGAATTGGTCCCTAAACTAAAGAGTTACCATGTTTACCGTCATTTAAGGATGTTTAGATATTTGTATTGGAAAACAAGACGATGCTTAAATATGGTCATGCAGAATATGGAATTAATATGTGCTTTATAAGTACTACTAAACAGCCAATATGTTAGTAGTATGCATACTAATACGCAACTAGTTAATAGTGAGAATTGGTCCCTAAACTAAAGAGTTACCATGTTTACCATAATTTAAGGATGTTTAGATATTTGTATTGGAAAACAAGACAATGCAGTGCAATGCATGCAACATTTAATGCCATGACTTTACCAATTAAAGACTTTCTGCTTTGATTTAGGACCTTTTAAGGCCTTAATTTGTGGTCATTTGTGAAGAGCTGCAGAAACCCGGTCTACACTATGATAACGGTGCAGTGCATTTGTGCAAATCATCACCTTTCCAAGAGAATGAAAACTTGCTGCTCAACTTTGGCAGCTCTCGGCTCCCCCTGCATCTGCTCGAGTTGCACACAGAGCGCTGAACATCAGCCCTGTTTGCCAAATGCGACAACACAGGAAAACGAGTTCCAGACGGGGAGGACAAAGACACAGGGAGATGTGCAGGTGGGTGGAGGGGGAAAATAACAGGTTAGCGCATGCAACCGCTTTGCCTCTCACAGATGGCTTGGTTTAAAAAAAAAAACATCAACGACAACGAGATTGTTGGAAGCAACTAAAAACTGTATAGTAGGCAATAAAACAATACGCAGCTGTTCAGAGAGCATGAGAGCTGATATTATACAATAATAGATTGAAAATGCATTTCACATTCATCTCTATTGTATTTCCTGGAAACAGATTTTGTGTACTTCAGAAATGACTACATAAAGGTTAAAGAAACATTGCAGCATGATGCCCCTGTCACCTATGTGTCAAGACCTGAATTTAAGGAAAATCTTGAAGGTAAAAAATGCAGAGGTTGTTTTCAGATAGCACATTTTATTATTGGCTTCACCAGGTGGCATTATAATATGTGTGTCATATGCTTGATCTCCAGCACACAAAACACACTGATGGGTAAATTGGTGATGTGAGAAGCGAAGATTTGACACTCTGAATCAATTGAACCAATTTGCAAAAATTATTCACGAAGAGTTAAAAACTTTGCACTGTGGGAAGCTCTGCTGGTTAAATAGCGATACCAGTTAATTATGCATAATTACATGCAACTATTCCTAAACCAAACCCTAACTACATAAACCTAACAATGAAAACTTGCTGAAAATTAACTCAAACTCATTACATCTTGGATGGCCTGAGGATGTTTCTTCTTCAGATTTGGAGAAATGTAGCATTGCATCACTTGCTCACCAATGGATCCTCTGCAGTGAATGGGTGCCGTCAGAATGAGAGTCCAAACAGCTGATAAAAACATCACAATAATCCACAAGTAATCCACACCACTCCAGTCCATCAGTTAACATCTTGTGAAGCCAAAAGATGCATGTTTGTAAGAAACAAATCCATTATTAAAGGGATAGTTCACCCCGAAAATTAAAATTCTGTCATTAATTACTCATCCTCATGTCATTCCAAACACGTAAGACCTTTGTTCATCTTCGGAACACAAATTAAGATATGTTTGATGAAATCCGAGAGCTTTCTGACCCTAGGCAGCATGGAACTACCATGTTCAAGGCACAGAAACGTAGTAAGAACATAGTTAAAATAGTCCATGTGACATCAACGGTTAAACCTTAATTTTATGAAGCTACGAGTAAATAAAAATAACAACTTTATTCAACAATTTCTTCTCTTCCCTGTCAGTGTCTGCTGTCATTCACGAGAGTACCGTCACACATGTGTGTGCATTCCTCCGCTTGTAAACAAGGTGCAGCACATCCGGTTTCTATGTCAGCAGCACCACACACATGTGTCATGGTACTCTTGTGAATGACGGCGGACACTGACAGGAAGAGAAGAATTGTTGAATAAAGCCATTATTTTTGTTAAAAGTATACTCGAAGCTTCAGAAAATTACGGTTGAACCACTGATGTCACATGGACTATTTTAACCATGTCCTTACAACGATTCTGTGCCTTGACTGTGGTAGGTACCTTGCTGTCTATGCAGATTCAGAAAGCTCTCAGATTTTATCAAAAATATTTTAATTTGTGTTTCGAAGATGAACGAAGGTCTAACGGCTTTGCAATGACATGAGGGTGAGTAATTAATGACAGAATTGTAATTTTTGGGTGAACTATCCCTTCAAGACGATTTCACTTTAAACCGTCACTTCTGGTCAAAATATGAGTTCATAAACCATAATAACGCTTCCTCCAGTGAAAAAGTCCATCCCCTGTTGTCCTCTCACATCAAAATCCATGCACAATATTTGTTCAGATATGTTTCAGACTGTTTTGGCTTGTAAACAGTGCTTGATCTGTGCATATTTCTCTCCTGATTCAGACTAGACAAATTTTTCAATATAAAAAGCAATATTATGGATAGAGGACTCATATTTTAGCCAGAAGCAACGGTTTGAAGTTAAAAACATGTTAATAATGGATTTGTTTCTTACAAACATGCATCTTTTGTGGATTATTGTTATGTTTTTATCAGCTGTTTGGACTCTCATTCTGACGGCACCCATTCACTGCAGAGGATCCATTGGTGAGCAAGTGATGCAATGCTACATTTCTCCAAATCTGACGAAGAAACAAACTCATCTACATCTTGGATGGCCTGAGGGGAGAGTACATTTTCACAAATTTAAATTTATGGGTGAAATATTCCTTTAAAATACAGTGTAACCACAAAATTACACATTTTTATCAGCTTGTCGTCCAGAAAATGAGTGCGCGTCTCATCATTGACCATGTGTAATTGAGTCACCTCAGTGCAGCACTGGCTGTGTGACGCCAACTGATGTGATGCGGGGGAGAAATCAAAGCTCACTACCTCCAATGCCAGATTCATGCTGCTTGCGTTGCCATGAACGCTACAAAAACAAACACGTTTCAGTCTTTCACAGTTTCTGTCAGCCTCAGACCCACACATGGTTAGTTAGCAGTTAGCAGCTCACAGAAGCATTGGGTTGACTGTGAACACGCCAATAAACAGTTTGCTTGTAACAGGATTTATGTCATTCCTTGTGTTCCAGTGTCTCCTACGTTCCCCGTGTGATCATTAAATGCTGTGAATTGAATAGACAAAGCCCTCGAGGACCATAGCAGACTGTTCCTGTTGGTCGCGAACATCATCAGCTATCCGGACGACGCGCTCTGCTCTTTCTATGACACAAGCCTGAACGCCGAGTGCAGAGCGTTGTCATCCGAAGATGGTCCTCGGGAGGAATTCGCCGCCTTTGTGGAGTGGACTCTGGCAAGAAACGGGTCGCCGCTCACCATCTGCCTCGTGGAGGATCTCGCCGGATCCACTCCGGACCCAGAGCCCAGCCCACCATCTCACCGCGGTACGGAGCATCAGCCTGAGCCCACCGATGACAGAGAGCCATTTCCCGCCGCGATACGCGAGCCAGAGCCAAGCCAAGTGACTGTGCAGAGGATTGCCTCGGAAGTTGAGTCCAACCCGTCAGACCAGGTGCGAGAGCCGGCGACAGTGCCCACCACGAGGGAGCAAGCCATGGACGGTGTGAGCGTGGAGAGGAGCTGTTATCTCCGTGTTTCCTTGTTCCTCGCTCCTTGCCTCCCGATAAGTGTGACAGTATGCATGTCAGTATAAGCCAAGTATCCTAAGTAAGTATATAGTTGGTAAGTACATGAAAAAGTAGTCAGTCTTTACCATTCTGGCTTATCTAGCTGTATGGTCTTTGTGCCAGTGCAGATACCAAATAACAGCATTAAGTTGCAAGAAGTGACATTATTGTTGTCCTCATTAATCTCTTTCGTCTGTCTCTGTCTTTCCTACGCAGAAATGAATCACCTCTGTTGGATGGCAACATCGTGCTTGGCCACGATTATCCAACTTCTAATTGCCCAGGGTTTGCTCTGAAGTTGATGAATGTGGCTCTGCCTGTAATTCATAAACATGTTGCGCTTCATCACAGATTGCAGTTTGTGAGGGAACTCTAGCAAAGCCCTGCACTCTTAATTGAGATACTTAACATGCATGACAAATGAGGCAACTCGACACAAGCCAGGTTCATCACACTTACTTTCTCCCCAATGGAAAGACTCCATTAATGCGACTCATTACACATGTACAACAGGAGATATAAAATCAGGGTGTGAATTTAGGGGGTTATGCTGAGACCCGCATAATTAAGACTTAAGACTATAAACAAGAGATTTGTTCTCATTATATATAGACATACAGTGGGTACGGAAAGTATTCAGACCCCCTTCAATTTTTCACTCTTTGTTATATTGCAGCCATTTGCTAAAATCCTTCATTAACCACAAAGACAGTCAGAATATGTCATTTCACTTAGCACTAATTCAACAATATGGCAGAAGAGAAGAGAAGAGAAGAGAAGATAGTTTTCATCTAGCAATTCTGACTTTTATTTTTTAAGAGAAGAGAAGAGAAGAGAAGAGAAGATAGTTTTCATCTAGCAATTCTGACTTTTATTTTTTCTCAGAATCGAGACAAAAGTCAGAATTGTGAGATATAAACTCGCAATTGCAAGAAAAAAGTCAGAATTATGAGAAAAAATATCAACATTTGAGTTCACATTTCACAATTATGACTATTTCTCGCAATTGTGAGTTTATATCGCGCAGTTCTGGGAAAAAAAAGTGCAAGCTGAATGTAATGTTTTCAGACAGTTAACTGCATGTTAATTTCAAATTATTAGTTTCAATTTATATTACATGCAATTAGCTGAACTTTACATTGTTTTTTTAGACACACTTAAGTAAGGACTTACGTATATCTCTATATGTAATTTCATAAATACTTCTATTGTCTTTGAAATATGGTTAAAGTGTACTAGTGAATGTACTGCCAATCATTTATGATATACTAAAATATACTATAATGTCATTTCAGTTGAAATAATAGTTTTTATAAACAATTATTTCACATGTATTTTAGTATGTTAGTCAACACATCAAAATAAACGTACTTCTTAATTTGACATTATTACAAAGTGCACTTTTAAAACATCCTTTTAAGATCTGAAATACATGACAAGTGCACATTCAGTACAATTAAGCACACTTCTTTTTCACAAGGCTTGCCTTAAGACAAACGCCGTGAAAATGACCTACAGATATTCATTTAAATAGTCAACAATCCTGAAAGTGGCTGTATGTTCGGCACCGAAGTATGACAGGATGAATGATCTGCACTGTGTGGAGGACATTAGCTTGTGGTAATGTTCAGTTTGCTTGCTTGCATTGAATGCACCATTCATCAAAAGCACCGTGGCTGTCGCTCGCCCTCTCAGCTTATTGACACTTTCATATTGACAGTACAATGGGCTTTGAGCACAGCTGGAGACGCCTGGGGTGGAATTGATTGGGGGATTTATGGTGTGTTTCGGATAGAGCAGCTCTTCAGGGTGCACTAAAGTGGACCTGTGAAGTCCACAGATGTGCCGGACTCACTGTGACTCTAATGGCACGGCTGCTTGTAGACGTCTGGGGAAAACATGACCGCTTGAGTCCCTCATAAGCACCGTCTAAATCATGCGGGATCAGCTTCTATAAACAGCGCAGTAAAACTCTATGAGTCACCTAAAACCTGAAGCAGACTTTCAGCGATTGAAGTTCAGGTTGTTGGCAGATGAATCACAGTGACAATAGAGATTCTAATAGATAGGCTTGTGGTAATACAAGAATGCGGTGCTTTGTCATGGGCCTACTGCAGATGAGTATTGATCCCAAAGCCTTATTGTATATAACAAAGGGCTGAAATGAGTGAAGACTTTTTTTTTTTGTATTCCAAAGATCTCTACAAAGCTCTGATGTAGGTCAGCAAAACCAATTTAAACTGAAATTCTGTTCATATTAATTTAATGGTATATTGCTTGGCTCTTTAGGATTTTGATGGGCATGTTATCATCTGCCAGGTGGGAAAAAAAAGGTTAGCAGCATGATATAGCATGCGGGACAGTTCACCCAAAATTGACAATTTTGTTATTTTCTTACCCTTCGCTTGTTCCAAACCTGTATGACATAGGTCTTGCAAAGTTTATTTTCCAACCTGCTTCAGCACACCTGGCCTGTGACAGATCTTGATTATGTGGTTCAGGTGTGTTTGATTAGGGTTGGAGCTGAACTCTGCGGCACAGTGGGTCCCCAGGAGCAGGGTTGAAGACCTATGCTGTATGAATTTCTTTCTTCTGTTGAGTATAAAATAAGATATTTTGTTTTCCAAACACTTGACTGTAGCCATTGCCTATTGAATATGGAAAAAAAAAATACTAGGAAGTCTATGGAAAACATACTATGGAAGTCAATGGCTATCATAAACTGTTTGGTTACCAACATTCTTTAATGATGTTATTTATTTATTTATTTTTTTTACTCATACATGTTTGGAAAAAGTGGAAGATGAGTAACCATAGTAACACTCATCTTAAAGGCACAATATGTCATTTTTTGTCACTAGAGGGCGCATATCCAAAAGAAACAAAGGCGTAGTTAGATGATGCCGTAACTGAGTGTGGAATCATGGGAGTTGTCGTCTTCATCCCCACAGCCGAAGCAATCCGATGGGACTCGAGCAGAAATCATGTTCATGGATGAGTTAATGTATTAAAGATTTATTAGCGTCGTAGTATGAAGCAGAGTGAGGCAGAAAGTTGTCGAAGCAAAACGAGGCCACTGAACGAGAGTGACACATGGCTCGAAAGCAGCGGAGCTCTTATTATGCCACAGTCGACCGCTTCCGCTCCTTCCGGAAAGTAGCGGAAGTAAGCAGCGCTGTTTTATCATACT